CTTACACTATAGGACAAAATATTGCAACATTATTATTTAAGCAACAAAAAAGCAATTCCCAAAGTTATAATCTTCGAACAGCGTACTGTATATACCTTTGACATTATAATTTAACGGGCATTTCCATCTATCATTGCAGAGCGTATATAGAAGTTTATGAAAATGTCGGGCATAGTTTGTCCAACTGATTTTACTGTTTTTCATATTGACTATCTTTCCGGCTGTATTTTTGTCAGTTTTTATGTTAAATGTTTCATGTTTATGTTCAAAGAAGAAGTAATTTCAGCATTTTTCGAAACACATAGAATGTGTTAGAAAAATAGAAAAAGGGAATACAAAGGTCACCATATGCTTAAATATAGTAATTAATTTAAACACACAGAGCGCTTAGGGAAAAAGTGGCAAAATAGGAACGTTGGCGAGTCTTTCTTATCTAAATAAATTCTCTAATAATGGCTGCACGACTATACGGTATTAAATAAAAAAAATTGTAATGCAAATGCTATGAAACTATCTTTTGGACTTCTTAATAATATCAATTTTTTTACTAGAAGTTTTAAAAATTATTTATTATCTTTTTTCTTCAGCCAACCCCAAAGTGTATCTTACGAAAGGGAAGTTGATTTTTGCTTTTCCCAAGCAAACCAAAGACCAAATAAAGTTTAAAAATTGCATCAGCCAAGACCCAAAATGCCCCCGGGCTTTTTGTGAATTTTCTTTTTTTTCCCTCTTTGGGGTATGTCAATTTTTCTTAAAAATATGTTGTGGTGTTTATAACGTTTGGGGTAATTTTTTCTACCTTTTTGGTAAAACATTTAACCATTTATTATTTCCCGAACTTTTGGGAAAAATTTGGAACCCTTTTAAACCTTTTTTTTACTTGCCTTTTTCTAAGATCTCATAAGCATCCAAAGAACCGGGTTCAACATAAATTATTTAATGAATAAATGAAGCAATGTCCTAAACCGGACTGCAGGCGCCTTATAATTGGTTTCTAGCAATGCGCAAACTAAAGGGAGTGACCTGGCTTCATCGCAAAAACTTGACTCGCAAGGGAAAGCAAGAGATATTAAAGGTCGTCATCTTGAACTTAGATTGTGTATATACCGCAATGAAAAATTAATTGAGGATGAATTTTGTTATTCCCATAAACAGAGATTAGAATAAAATTTAGTATTTTAGGAAATACTATTACTGTCATCAAATTCCTACAAAATGGTTGCAACATTTTCAATTTTGTTGTTTCGGACGTTCTTTAGAGATTCTGTTTTCCCCTATTTTATTGCCACATCCGTGTTATTTGTGACGTGTTTTCAAAGATGTTATATTTTTAAACATTGAAGATCTTTTAGCCACGACATTAAATTTATTTTTGTAAAATGTTTTTTTGGTGTTTTTTTGTTTCCCTTTTAAATTTTCATTTTCTACTTTAGTGGTTTTATTAAAAACCCAACTTGAATTTTGCTTAAACATCCTAAGGTTTTGTTTTCCTTCGTTTAAAATTTTTTCATTTTTACGTTCTTAAACTTGGGTATGCGTTTTCCCCAATCTTTTTATTTCCCCTTTTAAAGTTCTATTTAGTTTAAGTTCCGCCAAATTTTTCTCGTTTTTTGGGCACACGCCCTTTTTTTTTACTTGGGGGGGAAAAATTTCCCGCTTTTCAAAGGGAAATGCCAACCCAAAGTGTCACATTAAGGTTCTATGATAAAAGGCCATATGAAAAACATTGAAGATTTTTCCCTTAAAATTTAAAATTTTAAAAACCAATTTTTTTTTCTACTTAAGCCCGGCGCCCCAGGGGGGCGTGAACGGTAAAATTCCAAAGCCGTACCGGGTTTTAAAAACAGACTAAATTCCAAAAATGAGCCTTGCAAAAAATTTTTCAATTTTGTTGTCTTGGGCGTTCTTTCAGGAAATTTTTTTTCCCGATTTTGTTAATTTTTGCTTATTTTTCATAAAAAATTGTGTCAACTTTTTTGCATTTTTAATTTGAAAAACGCTTGTTTACAAAATGTTTTGTACAATTTGTAAAAATTTTTTAAAACCAAAAGAATATGTTTTCAAAAGAATAAAAAACATTTATTTTAAATTTGGTTGATTGATTTTATTGATTGAAATTTACCTCATTTTTTTTTATTCATAAAATTTTTACATTCATTTATATATTGTTTGATTGAAAATACATAAAAAATACTACCTAGCACAATTCGACAGAAAACACCTTGACCTTTTGTCAATTTGATGTGGACGAGAACTGCTTTGTCTAGTAGATTACACTGCTTAACTTATAGTCAGATGGTCAAACGTCAAGATAAATGCACAAAAATCGCCGCCAAAGAATATTTTAACCTACAGTCATATTGGTGGCGAGCATCAGCATTTACGAAAAGGAAGAGATCCTCTTACGGTTGGTGAAGCAATTTCTCCTTTATTATTCAAACATTTCATAATTTCACTTGTTTTCATTAAAGTCGATGGTATGTGGTCTCTATGGAGCACGTGGTCGTCATGTGACGTCACATGTGGAAATTCCACACAGACTCGAAAACTAAGAACATGTAACAAACCCTTTTCACAAAAAAATGGGAGGCTTAAATTGCTCTGGGAAATGCAGCCGATATGAAAGTGTTGCAGTAAAAACAAACTTTCCCTTGGTAAGTTTAAAGAAGAAATTAATCAGTTAATCAAATATTGGGATATGATTTTATTACCTGTTTAATTACTCTGCAGATCTAGTAAGAAACTTTTAAAAGCAAAAAATCAGATACTTAAAGAATTCTTCAGTGGACTTTACGGATATTTAATCTTCATCGATGTCAATGAGTTGTATAATGCCGTATCTATATATTTGACTTCGGTACAGACTATTGATTTTAGATACAAATATGTAAAATAATTATTTTAGAAATTTTCAATTTTGCTTCGACATGTCAAGATGGGTCGTCTTTTATAAATAAAGTTGGATATACCGAACCTTCATATCAAAAGTGCTAATCGCATTGATTCCATTAAAAAAATAAAATAGAAAACGACAAAAGAAATCTTTTTTTCCTTTTTTTATGTATGGGTATAATATATAACATGAATAACATGATTTCTAGCACCTTTGCTCCATATAATATATATTTAATATATAAAGTCAGGTGACGCTATTGATTTAAAAAGTTATTCATATTTTCTAATCAATCGTTAAGTACATGGTGGATGGACGACATGGGCCACGTGGGAGATTTGTTCAGTAACATGTGATATTGGTGTGCAAAAACGACACCGGACGTGCTCGAACCCGGTACCTTCAAGATTTGGTGATCACTGTTTCGGTGATCCAATTGACGTCCAGATTTGTGAACAAGGGCCATGCGCTAGTAAGATTGTTAGAGTATCAAAAGTTATTATTATTCACAATTCTTATAATTAACCACACTCCCTTATGGTAATGTTGACACAAATGTCAATGTTGTATACTAAATATTGAATAAATCTTTCATAAATTGACGAAAATAATCATTTTATAACATTTGGTGTAGATCAATACAAATAACTTAAGTTTCAGATCATTCTTTGACTCCGTTTTTTTCCAGATTGAGCATTTTTTAAAACACCTTTAATTCAAATCTGGTAAATCACACTTAATCTGGATTTAATTAAGTAATAAGTATACGAGTATATCTTTATTTTATTTTCATAATTTTGCGTGTTCAGTGCACAAGCTGAGCTCAGTAAAATTTTGGGTTGTACCGACGTAGATGATTTGTTGGCACAACACAAACTGATTGTCTCATATAAGATGTTAATGTTATGTTGTTTTGCATTTTCACACCATTTGTCAATAGATGGTGGCTGGACAGAGTGGGGAACTTGGAGTAGTTGTAGCTCGACATGCGGCGGTGGGGTGCGATCCCAATCTAGAACATGTACAAACCCACGACCTTCTTTAAGTGGGGGCCTTTTCTGTGATGGCAAAAAAAATTTAAAAGTTTTCAGTTGCAAACTGTACTTGTGGTATGACTTTTTCATTTTCTACAGGGGAAGTTTTATTTTGTTTGTTTTTGGTTTTTTCGCACTCGACACTAAGGTCATTCGCGACGTTGCAGCTTTACTGATGGAGGAAGACCTCAGGTGCCCTTCCGTGCATTATTTCAGGCACGAACGGGCACCTGAGTAGAACCACCGACGTTCCGTAAGCTAGCTGGATAGCTTCCTCCCTGTCGGGATTCAAACCTACAGCGGTGAGGGGCACGTGGTTTGAAGTCAACGACCTTAACCACTCGGCCACGGACGCACCAGTAATGTTGGAATAACGAAGGAATTGTGCAAAAATGACGATGAAAGGTGCGAATTCACTGGGAAAATGACTATAATAGTAAATGGACAAATATTTATTTTGAAAGTGCATGTTCATCAAATTAAAAGAAATGAATAAGCGCATACGGCTGCTAGGACACTATACATGTATTTAAACTCTCATAATTATTTCCATGAAATTTTTTCATGAGTATTTGCTTTTCGAGATTATTTGTGAGAAAAACGATCTGGCTACCAGGGGTAGAATGTTGAAAAATGTCCCTCTATGGTTTAGTTATGTTCCATATGTGCAACTTTTACATAAAAAACATTTTGTAATCGTTTGTGTGTTACCTCTACATAGATATTCTACCTGAGTTTTGATTTAAATTCAAAACCAATTAAGTTATATTTACGTGTTGTTGTTGTTGTTGTTGATATTTCTATACTCAAATCTGAAGATATTTTTTTCCAAAGAATAAATGGCATAAATAGTTCTGCTTCCCCTTTTAAATATTTTTTTCTTTTGTTGCGACCGTCTTGTCATCGTAAACGGGTACGCTGAATACCTTAAGCAAGTGTTGTGATGATTAATAAAATCGGTCATTTTGACGAAATTATGTAGACCTTTTCTCAGTAGCATATAATATATAATGTGCGCAACATCTTTAAGTTAATAAGTATATACTTAATTTAAATTAAATTTATAATTGCAGTTCCAAACATTATCTTTAACGCATATCATATAACTGACCTGAGTCCCGTCGTCAACCAGACAATGGTTTTTACCCAAATCCTTTTTAACGACGGTAATGCTTACGATTCTTCTACCGGAGTCTTCACGGCACCAATAAATGGGACATATACTTTTAGTGCTCAGCTATGTGTACAAACGAAAAGCAACATGAATTTTGGAATAAAAGTCAACGACAGAACTTTGGTTGCTAAGTACGGATATGAAGAAAACTGTAGATTACTTCAAACTGTGGCGAGAATTAAGGAGAATGACAAAGTGACTGTACAGTGGGGCCGATGGTCTTACCCAAATACTGATATTATAACAGATAGCACTATTAATAGAAATTTTTTACAGGGTCTTTAATACATGTTTAAAATTAAATTTACACATGTGATATGGATAATTTATGCTTACGTTATTGAATAAAATACTTAAAGCGAATTTTGTTAACTGAAACATTAATGTATTCTTTAAAAAAGCGTTGTTTTTAACACAATGGCATCAACTGTACCAGAAGATAATATTGTAAATATGCTATAAGTATAGTTTCAGCTGTCAGTTAATAAAATATATACATTTATTTCATGCTTTTGATGCTTTAAATTTGGTTTTTCCCCCGGCGACCCTTGCCAGATTTGTGTATAAAATTAAGGTTATCGAGCAGTTTTTGGTGGGATTTATAGGAATCTCCCGTTTTACGTTTGAAGGAATACCTCGAGAGCCTCTTGTTGCATTATAACAGGCTGAGGTTAACCGCAAATATTCTGTCAGCTAGACGGAAAGCTTCCGAATATTAAAGTATTCAAGTCCCTTTTTTCGGTTGGGTTTTACATCGCACCAACACAATTATAGGTCATATGACGAGGTCCAAGCTATACTGGAGGAGGAGAACCGCATGACCCCTCCTGTATTATTTCAGGCAAGACATCGAACCCGAAACTCGATATCTTCACATGAAAGAAGTCAAAGTCCCTGACGGGATTCGAAACCATATCGGTAAGCGTTGTATGGTTTGAAGTAAAAAAAAACCTTAACCACTCTGCACCAAAAAGTAGGATAATTGTATAATATCATTCCGGACTCCAATTTGGTAAATATTCAGCGGCGTCGCTTGGAGGAAATCAAATTATATGCACTAGTGTTGGGGTGACACGGGAACGTGATTCCCCGTTAAATTTTGAAAATCTTATAAAATATATATACCTGCATTCTAGATATTTTAATGTTCAGAAGAAAACAATTACACAATTTTGCAGCATTTTGGTAACATACAAAAGCTTTTACCAACAATAAAATAATGTCCATATCGGCGCGAAATTATTGTAAGTGACATTTTAGCAAAAAGAAAAAATGTTATGTGTTTGTTTGTTTTGTTTTGTTTTGGAATAATGTTGAAGATATGATATTTGAATTAATAATGAGTGGCGGCGTGATTGACGCGTCGGACAAGTAATCTAAAAATTGCTTTCCGCGTGGGTTAAACCCCGTCAGGGTCAAACCGTTGTTTCCAGGAGCAAGAAACTTTACATTCATTGGTTAAACCCAGTCAGGGTCAAGCCGTTGTTGCCAGGGGCAAGAAACTTTACATTCATTGATCAGTACTGGTTGGTTCCAAGAACGGATTCAAGAGTGTTTCCTTCCAACACAATCTGTCTAAAAATAAATTCATATAAACTAAACTAATCAAGAACTACTAGTTTGACGTAAAGAACAAACGCATGCAAATTTTATGCAAACATGAAAATTTAGCTGACAAAAATGTTCTATCACTCAAAGTGAAAAATAAGTCAGTTTTAATATAAAATTGGAAACAAATATCCGCAAGACTGAAAGACATGAACAAAACGTAGACCCCCCCCCCCTCAACAACCCCCCCCCCCCCCCACACAACACCTAGCTACAGCAGGAACAATCAGTAAGGCACCTAGAAGTCAAATGAACAAACAGTAAAATACTATATTATGGTAAAATATATATTGGCACACATACAGCTTTAAATAATTACTTAATAAGATATTATTCTTCAATAATATTTGACTGAAATCCTCTACTTTTTTCATATTGAAACATAGTACATTCAACTGGAAATTTACGTAAATTCAAGCATATCAAAAAAATCAAAGACAAAGCAAACTTATACCTTCAGTATTTCAAAATAGGACGATATCTACTCAAACTAGAGCTATCACTAAAGGTGACTGATACCCCCACAAGCACCACTGACTTTTGAAAAATTAGTGGTCCGAAGAAAAATTTGAACTCAACCTATAACTTATGAAGTTCCAACTGTGAACAAAGATTTTTTTTCAATTAATTGCAAATTATTTTTAATTAATTACAAGATCAAAATTTAATACCGGGTATGACCACGTTTAGCATGATGGACTGTCTGGCATCGCTTGCCGTATAGAACGGAGCAGCGTATTGATTTCGGATTGTGTAATGTGGTTCTATTTCTGAATTAAGGCTTGTCTGAGCTAAATGACGTTTGATGATGGAATTGGGTGACGTCTAACACTCTGGTCCAAATTATCCCAAAGGTGTTCAATTGGATTCAGATCAAGGCTTTTGACAGGCCAGTCATTAATAAATACAATGTTATTCGCCCTTAGGAAATTCACAGTGGCCCCAGCGGTATGCATTGTGTCATTATCATGTTGAAAAAGCGTGATATTGGCATAATTTTGAAACACTGGGATAACATGCCTCGCAAGAATTTAATCTCGGTAGCGTGGGGCTTTCAAATTCCCTTCGATAACGGCGAGATTAGTGCGAAAGTCATATGCAATGCATGCCAAGACCAAGACAGAACCATCAACCCCAAAACGATCATGTCAAGTACGCAGCAGTCGGCAAAACGTTCATTTCTTCTACGGTATAGTCGAACCTGCCATCAGCCTCGCCTCGTCAGAGAAATGACTGCTTTTCCATTGTTGTCTTAAGCCAGCGTTAGTATGTACGTGCCCAATTAACAAGATTTACGTGGTGAAGTCACCTCAAAACATAACCAATGTATGGTCGACGTCCATATGTTCCACCGAGCCAGCAATTGCGTACAGTTTGGGCAGATAAACACTTGTTATGTGTACCAGTGGTGTTAGCGGTAGTATACAGTTGTTGCAGGTTGGAAGCGATTGTGCCGGTGGATGCTCCGAATATAGCGTTCTTGGGCCACGTAACGTGACGCTATGGCATCCAATACATGGCCGATCTTCTGTACGCTCTGTTGCTGAAAAACTTTACCTAAGGTGTCGAATAGCACGAGTTAGAAACGGTATTCATCGTCATTCCAGCATTAGGCATGCCAATTGCACATTCGCGTAAATTTTCGAATTTTAGGCATATCCAATAAAAATCAACGTCTTTTTCTTATCGACATGAAAGTCTACAAAAGTTTACTTAAAGGTTTCATAAAATATACATGAATCTACTGGTCCGTGCATGCACGTGAAAATTGCGTTCTGCAAAACGAGTTAAAATCGAATTAAAATTTGTTTTATCGGACACATAATTGTTCGCCCGATTATATGAAGCTCATTTGACATTTTGATTTTTTTTAAATCAAGCTTTATGTCCACTTAAACACAGGGGCAGTTTTTTCTTTTTTGTTTAGTAAATATTCATCAACATTAAGAGCAAAAGCAATAGAAATAATCACAAATCTTTCATCTCATAGTATTTTATCAATTTCAAAATGTTGGCAAAAATCCTCAGGTAATGTGCTCCTGGCACTTTTTACTTTTATAATGAAATAAATAAATACAATACAATACAAAAAAGACATGTTGTAATTTATTTTGGTCGACGAAGGATACCCCAGACAAGGACATACACTACTGAAAGTTTGCTAAGCACCAAGAGTATTTTTGTACCTATCTTATGTTGTATGTCAAATAATAGATTTATTTCTGTTCTCATATAAGAGATTTATAAACATCATAAACGAATTTGTTACCAGCTGTAATGTGTTTTCATGTTGATTTGTTTTGACTGTAATGAAATTGTGTTTTAGTCGGATATGGTGGAATTTGTGAAAAACTCATTTTTTCCCCGAAAAATCTTTGTAAATAACTGATTTTGCTTTAATACATGTAAAGCGAGTATGTGAGCGTTGTCGCATACTCCCTATCAGGTTTCTTAGGACAGCTTGTGGGATGATATTACACTCGATGACAAGGGCGGCACTAAGCTCCTGCGTGCTTCTTGACTGGACCTTAAGGGCTGAAAAACGGACCCGTAGCTCATTCCATACATGCATAATTGGATAAAGATCCGAGGATCGGGCCGGCCAGTTCAAACGAGAAATACCCTGTCTTTTCAAGTACACTTGAACGACATTGGCTGTATGGGGCTTTTATTAACACCCATCAAAATAAACCCATTACCAATTGCACCAGTAAACAACCTTACCTGGTTGTTTAGGATCTCATCTCGATATCACTGGGCAGTCAATGTGCCTCTGTCGAGGACAAGGAGGTTAGTACGTCCATTTAGCTGACTCCACTCCAGACCATTATTGATCTGCCTCCAAAGCGGTCGTATTCCGCAATGTTTGCTGTATTGAACTGTTCCCCTGACCTTCCTTCGCCATTCTCTAGCACGCCTATCCATGTAGTCCAGGCAGTGTCTTGACTCGTCGGGGAAGAAGGCAGGCCGCCAGTCCATCCTGCTCCAACTAACATCTTCAATGGCCCGATCATATCGGAGCCGGCAGTGGTCTCTAGACAGCGTAATCCCTATACATGGTCTTTTCGATCGCAGACCACTTGCAAACGTGTAAGTATGGTTTGTAATGAAACCGCACCCCTGAGGCATTTTGAAGATCAGAACGAAGTTTGGTTGCAGTTGCAAAAGGTTTCTTCGTGCCCGGATGGCCAGAAAACGGTCTTCAGCCTCAGTAATCACCCTTGTTCTGCCACCACCATGTCGTCTTAAAGGTGTACTTTGCTGTTGGATCGAATGGTAACCGTATGGTCTGGTCCACACCAATTACTTTACCAATCTCACGATTTCGAGCCCCCTGCTCCACCATACCAACTTCCCGCCACAACTCTGCTTCTGTTAAATGCCTTCAGTTGCATTTGCCATTATTCAATCTTAAATGTTCGATATTTCAATGGAAAATGAATAATAAACACCCTACACGTGTCGGTGCGTGTATGCTGTGTCTAATATAAAGATTGGGTCACCTTGGTTGCACTACTTGCACGTGGAAATGGCCTGTCATTCAAGGTTATGAGTACATAGTGTACACTCTCAATAAATTTCTACACTATTTACAATATAAATATCATAACGTCATATGCTGTAGAATGCACGATGCTATATTGAAAACTTGGTGCTCAACAAAATTAGAGTAGCGTATGTTGCCATGTGAG